AATGGTTTGCATATCCCCTCGATTGCCCATTTAACCATTGTCATACTGATACCATCACTATCACTGGATGATTTATTACCACATTTGTTCACTATATCTATAATTTCCTTTTCAACTATTGGCTTCAGAAACATAGAACACATATTCCTTTCAATAGTATTGTTATTTATATTGACATCTGTACAAATGCTACTTGCTAAGCTAGGACCCACATTCACAAAAACCTATTAAACTTCTCAACTGCATCCTCAAATCTGTTGACCGGTGTATCATTGTCCATAAAATATAGAGGGTAGTTACTCCTGCTGGTACTGTTTCTAATCAATTTATTTAGTATATTCCAAGTACCTTTCATGTTATTTTTATTATCCTTTAATACTTTAGAGTAATATTGTTTCTTACATATCCTCAATAACGCAGTTAATGTCTTCTTATACAACTTATATTTTTCTTCCGCCTTCTTGGATCTGTCCTTTATGAATTCTTTATATAACCTTACCTTCAAAGTGTTTTCCACCAGTTAGTTTTCAGTGATAGAACGCTTTGTGTTTGTCAGTGAGCTACATCCCTTTCTCACTTTCTATGCTGGAGCCATATTTTGCATACAGTGACGTTATTACGATTCACCCAGAGTGTTTGTCCTTTTTGGGTTAACTGTTTGAAGACAGTGTTTCCTAATCCCACAGAAATAGTCCAATGAAAAAATTTTAAAAGGTTATATTTATCAATATAAAATGTCTTTTTGTATAGTTAAAAAAGATGCACAGGTTGCCTTGTTTTAATCATAATTTTATATAGTTATAGATTTTTTTTAGATAAGTAAAATATAAAAAATAACCATTTCAAAATAGTTTTTAAAAGAATTATTCTATCCTGCTTCAGTTTATTGGTCATTTTATGTATTTTTATGTATTTTATATAATTCCCACATTTATTATTTAAAAACATTTTTAATAACAAATTTCAGCAGTGAGTTCATTTTATCACAGACTTTGTCTGTCATTAACAAACTGGACTCAGACCAAAGGAAAAGCTAGTCACATAATTGGCTCTGCCCTGATTGTCTTGATTGGCTGACAATGACGTAATGAAAAGTAAAATTTTGAAATAAAAGGGTTGCTGAGGACAACTGCATTGTGAAACAAAACAGACTTTGGAAAATTGACAATTTGAAAGGAATGAAGATGCAGAGGGCGGCATGGTGGAGCAGTGATTAGTGCTGTTGCCTCACAGGTTCCAGGTTCAAGCCCGTGCCGACTCAATGCCTCTCTATCTTCTCTCTGCATTCTCTCTGGGTACTCCGGCTTCCTCCGACAGTCCAAAGACATGCTGCTTAGGTTTACTGAGGACTCTAAATTGCCCATAGGAGTGTGTGTGTGTCTGTGGTTGTCTGTCTCTAAGTGTCAGCCCTGTGATAGACTGGCAACCTATCCATGGTGTACCCCGCCTCTCACCCAGTGTCAGCTGGGATTGGCTTCAGATAAGATAAGCGGTATCGATAATGGATGAAGAAGCAGATTTGCTGAGCTTTAAAATGTATAGTATTATTTCATGATTTCAGAGTTACATGACATAGTTTGTATTAATTTGCCCATTTATTTTTTATACAAATTTCATTTTGTATTTATTTACTACACAAAATTTCTCCATAGTGACCACCAGATGAGGGTTACAGGCACTGATCTTGTGAGATTTGTATATCAAGTAATAATATCAGTCTTGTAGATCACAGGGTGTTACCATTAAAATACCAGCAGAACACAGATTACATCATGTAAAAGTATAAATGACAGCTTTCCTGATCTACAGCTCAAACAGGTCAGCTTCAGTCATAACACACATATTTGTTAGTGTTGTAAAGGTGCTTTATGAGTCTTTTTCATCCATTATAAATCTTGATCCTTACATCTCACTATCAAGATCAATCTCTACACTTTCTGTTGCTCTTTATTTACAGTATGGCCTCAGGCTACCTTTTATTCAGTTATTTCAACATGACCTGCATCTGTCTGTTCTCCAGCTCTGCACTGTCACCAAAGTGTAAAAGGGGTTTCTCCTGGCTAAGATTTGTGGGGGGTTGTCTGGAGGGGACCCTGCAGCTCTGCAGTACCTGTAAAAAGATTGGTTTCTGCAGTCAAACACACCTGTGTTTTTGATGCCAAGAGACTGATGCAAATAACTTAAATAACATTATTCGATGTTACTGTTTGACAGTGTCTGCTTTATTTCTTTGTACCTGCAGAATCATCTTCTTTGTCCTCTTGCTGGTTGTTTGTGTTCCCTTCCCTCTCTGACAGTGGTCTATCTATTCTGAGCTGTAAACAACAAGGAAAACGAGCACACAGAGCCTGCTGAGTCTGAGCTACAACACCTGAGAGGAATTTGGTAACAATTCGCAAACTTGTGAACCATGCAGCCCTGGAACTAAAGACAGGATGCTGTGTTCATTAAGTGTTGTCTTTCCTCTCACCTGCTCTGGTCTCCACCCTACTCCCAACAGCAGCCTTATGTAGCTCAGGACAGAGAGGACACTGAGGAAGATGAAGTTACTGGAAACACCAACTAATGCTGATATGACAGGGAAGTAGAACAACAAGTATCTGACGAGGAAACAGAGAAAAAAATGTCAGTGCAACATTACAAGTGTTATACTGTGATGAGATGTTAACAAAATATTTATCTTGTCCTGATTTTGTCTCATCTAATAGGAGGTAATTTCCTGTAATTCCCTTCAGTAACCCACAGACAATAATACAATACAATAATAAAATGAAAATAATTGTACATGGAGGCAAAAATCCACCAGGAGAAGTGAGTTTCTCCACTGAAGAAAATGAAAAAGTGACTCAAAACAGAAAATGTCAATTTCATTTTTTCTTGTGATGCTTCTTCGACAGAGGCATCTAAAAACAGCATGGTGCACCCATCACTTTTATGTGACAAATGTTTGGGCCATGTGGGGAAAAGGATTCTCACCTTATGCCAGTGAAATGAGCATGAATGTACAGATGAGATGAATAGATCTCCACTTTGTTGGACAGGATCTCGATGATGGCTGTCTCCGCTGGGGCATACTGGGAAAAAAAACAACATACTGGCTTGACTTCAATAAAATACTTGTACCCTCATTTACTCACAAAGCATCACAACACTCACAGGGTCGTCTGTGTAGTCTGAGAAGAGCTCCACCTCCACCACCTGTTTCTGCTCAGCTGCTCCAGTGAGAAAGGCCGGGAGGAACAGCAGCGTTCCCAGGCTCCTCAGCAGGTTTGAGCGGTATCGCAGCATGCTCTGACCAACAGGACAACACAGTTAACCTGAACACCTGGAGCAACACAGTACTGGAAATAATTTTAATCTGTCCCCTGGTATTAATGAATGTGCTCTTTCCTTACACATTTGATACCATATCCCAAATGTTTTCAGTGATGACCTAATGAATATTTAGGAAAAGATGACTGAAGTTGTATTGAATGCAAAGGTTTTACCCATTGTGTAACTCAGTGACTGGGTTTTGTGCTCACTTTAATTAACACTAACAAAAGCTGATCTCAGTGGACACTACTTCAGTGACCTATGCTGCGAAACCAAAAAAATAGAGATTCCTGTCCAGTGTTATGTAGTGCAATAGAAGATTTCTGGTTCAAACTAAAGCGTGAATTTGTTGTGTTGGCTCAGTTCTAGGGTAAGATTTAAGGCTTTTGTGAGAATGATTAGTATATTTTGTATAGATGCACAAGATTATTCAAAAATGTCTTATAATTTAATGCAGTCCAAAACAAAAACAGAGCTTTAAAATATAGCATATCAGCACCCCTTTAATTTAGTGTTAAGCTTCAAGAGAATGAAGTATTTATTATTGGACTGCTGCATTGCATTGTATTGGGGGTTTCTATATTTCAGATTACTCAGTGTCCAGTGAAGTAATTGGTCTATGTGTATTAGCTATTATTTCACATGTTCATTCTGTCACTAGAATGAGCTGAGCACCAAAATCACCATCTGTTGCAGTGGTGCTCTGCAGCAAGCACAAGCAGCTCTGATCTGGCTCTGACCAGGTTGTGTAATTATTAAAAGGTTATTATGCATCAGCACTGTACTCACAAAGCGAGAGCTGGCGGCAGATAGCAGCTGTCTTGCCTGAGAAACATAGCAATGCCACAGTGAATTGCAGATGTTTGCAGAAACTAGTAACAAAGCTTTATTTGATTGTATGTACACATGTGACCACCTAGGAGATAAACACAACAGCTGCAACCTACGGAGCGAGCAGAGGTGGCAACCTGGCTTCCATCCTGAGAAAAGCAGGTTGCTTTGATCAGGAACATCCCCAGCTCTTGATTGGCTGGAGACTCGGGCATCTCCAGCTGCAGAGAGATCCGATAGGCCTGGCTGAATGTCAGCACCTGCATATACATTTTAAAGCGATGATACTACCGGGAATAGATTAAAGTTTAATACCCAAACAGAGGCAGATATATACTGTACACTACATACATGCTTCTTATTTCTCATCAAGGAGATGTTGGCCAGTGGATAAGAGCACAAGAAAGAAGCAGGGGATTCACAGTCTGTCCTGTGGACAAAATCAAGTATGACTGAGTAAAAGCCACAAAGAGGGAATTAAGCACAGCAGTAAGTACAGTGTGTTTTACTGATGCAGTTGGACAATGCTTCACATACACACCTGTAGTGATAGTGCACTGGTGTGGAAAAAGCTGCCCTGGGCATGTAAGAGTAGTAGAAGCTCCCATATAAAAAGGCAGCAAGCCAGAAGAGCAGGAAGACAAATAAAAACACAACAAAGCCCTGAATAACTCTCTGACGGGTGCGTGACATCGCCATGGCAACAGCACCCTGGAGTCTTAGCAGCATCTCATCAACACGAACTGACTGCTCTCCGTCATCTCCTGAATGTAAATGACTCCTTTGATCCATGAAATCTAAAAACCCAATAGACAGTGAAGATTAGAGGAGTTTTTGAAAAACAGATAAGAGCAGAGTTTGCCAAGTATAGCTGTAAACAAAGACAGATATAGTATTATTTATAGAATAATTAATTGATTAATTAAAAGTCACAGCCACTGAAATGTGTTGCCTGTTGTCTAAAAAGTTATTTGGTCCACGGTTTCCTGTGAAAACAGACACTGAGCATTGTATAAAGTTACAAAAGCTTACTGTGGTTGGTAAAAATCGATGCTATGAAATTTAAGTCATCTCATTCAAAGCACTGAGATCTGGAAAATTACTGTGTCCAATCATAATTACAAGCAGAGGCCTGTCATATCAGATGACTCCAAACTGTGCCAACAGTCAACTGCCCCTAAATTACATGGATCTATTGTAGGAGAAAAAAAAAAATCAAGATATTTGAATCGCTTTGCCTTGGCACATGTACTGTGTAAAAATACTGGTGGAGTAAAAGTATGTATCAATGATCCACACTAAACATCAAATATCTGCAAACTAAACTTTGTATTTTCCAATTTCATGTGACCAAAGTTTTAATCATTGAAAGAGGAAGGGAGTTGTGACTTGCTCAACACATACATGAAAGCTAACACATTTCAAATTAAGAGTTATGCTGGCAAGCATTTTTAATTTGAGCTTTAAAACATTAAGAAAGTGGTCTAATTTATTTTATATATGGTATCCAACTACAGCATGTCTTGGTATTAAAAAAACTCACCTTTGTTTTTGTTGGCCAACTACGTACTGTTACGAAATCACTTCTCCTTTTCTTGAAGTCTCTTCATGCTTGATACTGTCTTGATGAAATGCTGCGAACAGAAAACCCCTCAGTAACTTACCCTTAGCTCCTAAAACCCTGCCATTGGACAGAGTTTAGGCCATCCCACATGAACATACATGCTGCTGCCAACTGGAACAGAGTTTTAGTATTGTACGCAACACTGATGACAGGGCGGAGGTTTGAGATCTTGAGTTTACTTCGCCTACTACAAAACAAAATACACTACTCTACAGTACATGTATCCTACTGGAATATTTTAGTGATCACACTGGACATAAAGCAAAACAAATGTTTTATTTTTGGGTGACAAAAACAATCATAGCTACTTGTGTTATATCGTAACTCCCTGAAGAAAGATAATACAACTGCTTATGTCTGCTTTTTTGTTCTGTTTGAGCACTTCATAGTAACAGATTACCTTCAATGACAATATTGGATAACTTGACCTCAAGAGCAGTCTGTATTGTTATCTTATTCATTCATTGTAGTTCACATCACAATCCAAACTTTTATCCATGCTGGCTATTTATATTCATTGCTATACATGTTTAACTGTTGAAATGATTACTTTCTTGTTTGGAGTCTGTTTTTTCTCCATCGCTGCTAAATGTGCCGAAAAACTCTAATATCCCAGAAAACACAGTGGCTCCTAAGAACAGAGGACATACTGTACAACAGAGAAAGCACAAACTAAACATCTGTTTAGATGCAGTTTAGATGGGGAAACCAAATTCAGAAATACTACTAATCCATACATACTGAAAACACAAAAACACATACTGTGCACATTAAACTTGGCTAGGTGTACCTAATACACTGCCAAATGAGTGTTACTTTGTAAACCAATCAAGAAATTGAGCAACACTGAGATACAGTCATTGACCAAAAAATGACCCTGGGAGGAGATATAAGCTCTGTCATAAAAAAGTTAAATATATCTCAATACAGATACCACAAGGACAGAAGTAAGAAAAAACAAAAATAAACAAGTTAATATGAAGAAAAAACAATTGTAGGAAAAACCTTTCACCAACAGGTGGCAACATCTTCTAGCGGCAACAGAAAAAAAAAAACTCCAAAGATTTTCCATCGTAGAAGAAGACCTTTTATCCAATCACACATAGCGACTTGAAGTAACCGGAAAAGGTCTAATACATTTCAGTTTGAAAAGCTTCTGAAACTAAAGGTAAATAAAGTTGCAGTTATGTATCTCTAATAGCTAATATGGTCAGTAAACAACAAGAGTAATAATAAGAGGAACTGCGGAGAAAATGCAAAGAGAGTATGGGAAGTGCGTTGTTTACTTGGGGAAAGTTTGCAAAAACGACTCTGTAACCACCAGTTATTAAACCATGGGAGGTTACGAATCCATACATTTTTCTCAAAACGTGTTAGATAAGTATAACTCTCTGAACTGCAATTACAGTTAGTAGGATTGTTGGTCCTGCAACTATCGAATGTTTTTCTTATTGATTTTTATGTTGATCATTTTCTTTATTCGTTTCTTTAGGTTGCATTATGTCCTGTAACACCAGTGTTACTCATGTTCATATATCATCGGTGAGCCAGGCACAGCGTGCTCCAGTCCACCTCATGCCCTGTGAGATTGAACACAATGGGCCGGCCCAGGTCTCACAATACCTCACTGCTACAACAAAAGATCGCAAATATGGTACAAAGTATATATTTGATATGTGTCAGATTTTTTGTTCTGATTAGTTTAAAGCCTCTCAAGTTGTAAAGTAATGATAAGTGTTACTGCACTAGATTGTAGTTAGTACAACAGAGGTGGAGATAAATCCCAATAAAAAATAATAATGACACTAATGCCTACAATATATATGACCCTTAGGGTGAAAGCCATTAGGTTCTTAAAAATTGCTTACTCTGGTGACCATGTTTTAATTGGACACACTGGCATGAATAAAATGTCAAAATGACCACCATCCACCTTTACTGATTTCTATGCTGCTTTATCTAGTAATCACTGGCTGACTTTGTGTCCAACCTAGATGGGGAGTAGTGTCCAGCTGTTGTGATAATGAATACCAGTTCTATAGTTCAGAAAAATCCCAGGACAGCATGGGAGTTTGTTTCACTATGATCATCATGATATGTTAAATTTATTTTTCAAATGAATTAAAACAGTGTTATCATGCCAAGTCTATAGTCTACAGCTTTTGGAAAGTGATTTCATATTATCTGAGTCAATGATGAATTGTTTTAACATTTTTGTAGCAATTGAGGACCTCAGTTTGTTGCATCATATAGATTCAAACAGGTACATCTTACATTTTAGCCTGCAATCATTTTTAGAGGGGGAAAAACACTAACAGTGGTCCTTTGTGCATTTTTCTCATTACAGAGAAGACAGTGTCATTCAGAGGGCGTGGGCTGAAAGGGCAGGAGCTTAGCTGCCCACAGGGCTACACCGGCCTGGTGCTGAAAGAAGTTGTCGACAAGCCCGGCTCTGACCAAGAGGTAAACGCCACTCATCACATTTTTCACACTACAAAAACCTTTTACTGTATGCTGACCTGTCTCAGGTAAACATAAGGCAAAGCACCGACTAAAAATCATACAGCTGTGTGGCTAAGGATTTTGTTATTCTGTCTACATAATCTTGAATTCCAGGACAGGACTGTGAGGGTGTCTTCTGTGTTTGACAAAGTGACCTACTGGAACCTGGAAACTCCTCCAAACTCTGATGACACAGTTGTGATGGCAATGGACTGGCCTGAGCTGGCTGAGGCAGTGAGTGCTTTTTCCCCTTTCCTCTTCTTGCAGCTCACTTTAATCAAATAAAAGTCAAGTCAGTGTCATTGCAATATTTTGACAATTTGAAAATTGTTGTTGAACAGTATTGTCCTTTTGTTTCTCTCTAACAAACACTGTCAAAATTGACAAAAAAAAGCTACCCAGCTACTCTGATGACAATATTTCATTAGAATTCATTTAGATTCAAGCACAAAGCTGCATGCATTTGTAGGTGGATGCTAATATTTTGTCTCTTCACAGATCCATGGACCAGTAGAAGACTGAACAAAAAGACTTCCTGCTAAACTGGGGCAGGCTGGTGTCACCTCCATGTGTTAGAAATGAAATGCATGGAATTAAACTAATTTGCTGGTTAATGCCAACTAGTTCACTGTTACTGTTGCAGAGCAATAAGTAACAGATGTCATGTTTATATTTTCTATATGTTCTTTTGTAGTGAGATAAGAAAAAATAAAAGATAATGCAGACTGACCAACCTGTGCATGGTGTGATTCAGTAAAACATTACAATATTTACACAGTTTGTGTTTAATTACAAGGTAACATTTAAGATATTTCACAGTGTCTACCGTGAAACCTACTAACATAATCCCCAAAACATGTAAAATGGTACAGAACAACAAACTTCGAAGTATCACACAGTCATTCAGGCACATTTAAAGTCTAAATTTGAACATTTAAAAAGAAGGCAGAATTACTGCATCTGTCAAAGTGTGCTTATACTATATATTCTGTCACACTACAGGAAACACTTTAGAAGTGAAAGAGCACAGTGGAAATGAGCAAGGACAAACTTCCCTCCTCACCCCTCATGTCCACTACTACTGAAAGTACCTTCATTATTAATGAATTCAATCTCTTTCTATGGCTGCCACTTTAATGTCTCAGTCAGTCATTTCATTTGCAAGTCTTCCTAATCAAATACTCTGTACACTGCTGCTAAAGGAGATGAGGGGAGGATTGAAGAAGATGAAACAAGGTAAGATTAAGCCCAGATAGCACAGGTGATTGTGTACTTCAAATATACTCTACCACATGGTATTTGCTTCCACACAAACGGCTGATGGTTTCACTTTGTTAGTAAAACACTAAACGGTACTACTACATTTACAATCTGCCAAACTTAGCTGGCACAGAGTCACACACTGAAGAGGCAGTCGTACAAGTTAATATTAGTAACTACTAACATTTAAAACAACCTTCCCTTAGGTTGAGTTAATGTAGAAAACATAAGATGTCACATGACTCTTTGAAATATTTTCATACCTACCGAAACATCCCTTCTTACAACACTGAAGTTTAATCATTTCTACATCCATACAAGCATATGGATGGTATAACTATTAAAACAGTACAAACCTAAAACTGTAAAAATACCTCTTAAATTTTACATAATACAACAGCACAGGTATCAGATTCTATACAGACAACAGTCATAAATATACATTAATTTAAAGTGTGTAAGTGAGGACTGACATCATTGCCACTGTTTAATGTGTGTACTTCTGTACTTATGGCTGATGCAGTTGTTAGCACTTGCCTCATAGCAAGAAGCTTGTGGGTTCAAACCTAGTATATCCATTAGTGTATACTGTCATGTAACATGTAAGAAAGTAGTATAAAATATAAATTGTAGTAAGCATTGGGTAGTGTTTAATTCTGAAATAGAACATAGATGTATTAAAATTAGACTGTCTAGTAGAGCCTGAGATGAAAAACCATGAATGAGACATTTCTAAAACTTAGAAAAAGATAGGCAGGGGGTTTCACACCTTGGGCGTTATGGTACATTCACAACATAGACTTTATTTAAAGATGGATGACATGTCACCAGATGGTACCGGTTTTGATTGTGTCAAATGCTTCAAAACACAGTAGCTTCATTTTGATTGAGTGCTTCAGAAAGCCTCAGTTTATCCATCACTACACATGGAGGGGGCAGAGTTTATGACTGGCCATGTGTCTGAGGTCAAATATATACTAAACATGACTTGAATAAATCAGGTTTAGCTGATGGTGCACCATGCGCTTATGTTAAGAATGTTGCAACATTCCAGCAAGCTGTGTTGCAAAAGGTTGAGAAAACTGACCCTGGTGCAAAAAAAATAAATGCCGTTTTTCTCTCAGCGATATTCAGTTTTTGATGTGCAAGGTTTCACTGACAGAATATTGGTTTGAAATGTATTACTGACATGGAAATAAATAAATAAAAGTACAAAAAATGTGCCTCTAGTTTGGAAAGATCTTTATACTGCAACCAGTCGCCAAGGGGGAATCAACTTATTGTGGCTTCACTTCTGGGAGCTGTCGCGTTGGCCATCTTTATAGAGTCCATGGTTTACACATATGGATTCAAAAGGATGGGCCAGTGACAGCTGCCATTCTTTATGAATGAGACCTAGCTTTGCAGCACAATCAGAGCAGAAAATGTACAACATGTGCTTAACACAACAGATTCACTGGAGGCCAGATACAGTTACCTACTTTGTATCCATATGTGTGAATGTACCCTTATTACTTAAAGGAATTTCAATGTAGGTTTAAAGGTAGAATTACAGTTAGGATATTAAGTTAAAATTCTGTGTATAAATACAGAAATACAGCTGTGGGTATTTACACGTTAGCTAAGAGATGGTGGTGGTTGCTGTGCTGGTTGCTGTGGTGGCTGCTGTGGTGGCAGGGAGGGTTCTATATCTGCCTTGCTGCGTTTGGCTGGCAGTGTGTGATCATGAGCTTTACGAATGTGTCTGTACAGGTCACCTGATTGTGTGTAGCTCCGGTAACAGTAGCGGCACTCATAAGGGCGCTCTCGTGTGTGCACAATGGCATGGCGTCTTAGTGTGTATGTACATGAGAAAGTCTTTCCACAGACTCCACATGTGGGGACATCCTCCACAAAGTTCCCCATAGAGTCCTGGAAATAGGCAGGAGGGTCTGAATGCTGCTGAGCTGTGGATGAAGGAATGAGGGAGATGGCAAAGGAGGGGGTGTCCTGGGAGGAAGGGCCAGCACCCGAGGAGGAGGAGGGGGAGAGAGGGAAGGAGTAGTCATTTGAGTGGGAGGTCATTTGTAAGATGCCCTGTGGGTGAGAGGAGAGAAACTGAGGGCTGTTCAGATCCTCTTCTTGGATGTCATCTTCAAACTCATCATCCACTTCCATCACTGGTTCTCTCTCTCTGACTTCCTCTTTCTCCTCCTCGAGCTCTTCATCAGATATAACAATGGCCTCCACCTTGACTTTCATATTCTCTTCCTCACTGTCATCTGTCCTTACTTTGTCCACAAGAGGGTGAGATTTTCCGTTTCTAGAAATTGGAGAAACTCCTGTATCCCTTGCAAGGCCTGTAAGGGTTTGGGTCTGAGGAGCAGCGTGGAAGTCTGACTTTTTGTGTTGAAGCAACAGAGTGCTCTGGATTTGAGGATGTGCACGCTGGACCGATGTGTGTGTTGGGTTGGCTTGTAAGTGAGAGGTGAGTGCTGATGTTTTGAGTAACATGACCATCTGTTGTCTTCCACCTGATGCTCCTCTATGCTCAGTATCTGAGGGTTTCCTAACAGAGTCGTTGTCCCTGGGGAATCGTGGTGTATCCTGATGTGGACTAGGGGAGAGACAGGATTCTGACTGGGAAAGAGCAACGACTGACCGACCACCAGTCTGGCTCACTGCGACCAGGGTGGAAGAAGATGAGGACGAGGGCTGCTGGTTACTGCTGTGGCTGGTGAAAGATCAAAGAAAGGAAGACAGTCATTTAGTAACAACAAATAATGCCCATCAGTAGATAGAAGAACAACTTAGCGTATACTGTATGTAGTGCTGAATGCGCTAAGTAAAGGAATCAACTAAATTTTTCATTTAAATACTCTTTTCTATGAAGGCAGTGGGGAAATCAGATTATCTTATAATTCTTATATCAATGAATATTATGATACCTGCTTAGGTTAGGAAATGACATGTCAGGTTGCAGATCACATGGTTACAGGTTGTCAAATTTCTCAAATGTTTCAGGATCCAGTTTCTGCCTTAGAAATGACCCTTTTGTTAATTAAGGTTACAAAACTGCTGATCATGATTTGCAGTAATAAAATAAAATATAACCAGAACAATACTGAAAATACACAATTAATGAAGGCTAGATTATATACTAAATTAATAAAAAACATGTGATTCAAAGGACAGGCTGTTAAATGGAACCTCACTGGCACATACCAGTTGGGCCAAACCCAATTCATGGGTTCACAATTCTCATATTTACAGTACAGAGTAAAGTAAACTATTGTGCTTGGGCTATTTCTATTTTACTTTTATTTTTCCCTGGTTAAGATTGTTGTGAACTTCACAACAGACACATACCATGTCTCTGTTGTGCTGCAAGGGCTGCAAAGTGCCGACCCCTGCTTCTGACCTCCAGTTCCCGACCTGGCGTGATCTCTAGAGGTAAGGGCAGACTGCCCCGTCATGAGGCCCTGCACCAACTCTCCACCTGGGGGCAGAGGAGGGGCGTCCATTCCTGGCTGGGTGGTATCAGCAAGGTCAGGGCTCAGTGGAGTCTGAACTCGTGCCTCTGATGAGCCCCCACCAATCCTCCGCTCAGACTTCACAGATTCCATCTGACTCCTCTCCATCACTATGGACACTGATGAAAGTGGCGCTGCCATGGTGACTGGATTCAAGTGATCTGCCATTGGCACAACAGGCTCAGCTCCCCTGACACCTCCACCTTCTCTTCCTGTCTCTATTGCTTTCCTCAGACCAGCACTCTCTTCAGAGCGAGTGCTATCTGCCTCAGCTAGAGGCCCTCGTCTCTGCAGTCGTCTCTTGCACACTCTTACCACCTCGTTCATGTGCAGAAAGCTGGCAGCTGCCAATATGTCCTCCACTGGAGGAGACTCCTCCAGCTGCAACACACCTTCATAGACAAAGTCCAACAACAAGCCAAATGCAGCAGCTGTGACAATGTCGCTATCGAGTGTGACACAGCTGTTTGTACTATTGCTACCACTGGCCCCTGGAGAGTCTGAGTAGAACATATGGAAGAAAGGCGAGCAGGAGGCCAAAACAGCCCGATGAGCAAGGAAACAGGATGAGCCCACCAAGACGGTGCAGTCACAGAGGAAGCCCCGCTGGCGCTGGGAACGCAGAGCTGACAGCAGCTGCTGGGCATGCTGAGGGAACTCCATCACCTGAGCAACAGAGGATAAAAATAGAGACAATACAGGGAAAAGGAGAATTCTGCTGTCTTAGAAATAAATCACCACAGTGAGCTATGCAAAGTATCTTAAAATATAAGGCTACCTTTTTACTTTTTTTTGTGAAAGTAATGATTTGCACTAATTTAGTCATTTCTAGTGTTGCCATGCTTATCTAACGTATAACACGTATGCCACGTATTTATTAACGCATACACCCAATATCTAACGGTACGTTACCATGGTGACCAGGCGAATTCGCCAGTCCACTGTCTTCGTCTAGGACCTCTTAATATCATCATATTTTAACGGTAGCGCGCAAATAAACAAGGCAGCCACGGGCGTGCAGGTGTGAAAGGTACATGGGTAGCATATTAACATGCTACTCAAAATGCCGAGGGTGTCCAACAAAAAAAAAACCTAATAAAAAAAGTCAGTTCCAGACAAACTAACTATGCTAACAGTAGTTAGCCAAGTTAGCTCAGCCTCCGTGTAAAAATCCAGCACCGGAAGCCCCAGTAACCGCAGTTCTCTGGTTGGATCGCGGCATGAGTTGTAACCTACCGTGAAATAGTCTGCACCGATTCCGAGCTGCGGTACCTCATATTTTCATAGATATGATCATTATTTTTTTTACGTGAAGCCACTGTCTGGCTGATGTTTTCTTCCAGGGAAAATGCAGCTTTTCCTCGGTGGTGCCAGGTTACCGTATAACCATTCAGCCGAAACAGTTCCACCTACAGATGGGTATGGAGAGAAGACAGGAAGTGGGACTACGTTTGTTGACATCAGTTTACTAACGACGTGTGATCTTGTGTAGCAGTTTATAGAATTAAGTACAATTATTGGCTCTGTATCCAACAGCTTAAATCAAGATTTGAATGACCGAACTTTCTTTATTTTAAATGGACAGAGACAAAGGAGGCAGAAGAGGGAGAGGAAAGTGGAGAAGTCGTGGTAGTGAGGTGAGAGATTGAAACCCTGTTAATTCAATGTTTTGAGTTGTTCAGAGACTGGACCCTGACAGGCAGGCAGTATGAACTGTTTTACATGGTAAAGTCTAGGTCCCATTTTTAAACTACTGCCATACTTAGAGCTGAATTTGTATGTGCCTGTGTGTCATGAGAGATGCCTTCTTCCTTGCCAGGACAGAGACGTACGTCTGTCTAAATCCATGTGTTATGCTCTTCGCCATGGAGCCAACCAGATGGGATTGCAAATAGGTCCAGGTTAGCTCACAATATGGTCTGGGTAACACAAGTGTTCCTGCACTGATACTATCACAGTTTAGTCACAGTAGATTTAATTTTCAATGCATTTCAGCAGATTCCCTTTCTCTGTTTTGGGTCTCACACACAATAACTTGAGATTTTTGAAGGGATTTCTTGATTGAATCTCTCAGTTTAAGAGCCATAGTCAAAGTACCTAATAAAATCAGGGTGATAATCCTCACATTTTTTGGCTTCAGCTTACACTGACCATGTGACATGATTTTAAATTTTGCTATAAATGAGTACAGAATGCTTGCAAACTGTAAATGCGTTCCAATAGAGCATGTAGCACAAGCTGGTAAGTCCAAGAGAGAAAATCATTCTGACAGAGACCATGGCATAACAGTTGTAACCCTCATAGATGGCTTCCTGTTTGTGGAAGAACTCCTGGCACACCCACAGTTCCGCTCATACTCACTGGAAGATGTCGAGAGAGTAGTGGCTACATGTGACAAACAGCGCTTTAAGCTCTGTTCCCACCCTGAGGATGGACGCCTGCAAATTCGTGCCAATCAGGGGCACACAGTGCAGGTATGCAGACCCTTAAATCTAACACCAGCGACACCTGCAGACTGTGAAAAGAGTTTATTTAATTTTGTCAGCAAACCAGAATGCCACGATGTGTTATCCCCCTGGGTAGATGCCGTATTCACTATATTTTCAATTGACACCAAAACTGCTTATTTCCTTTCTTGTGGTCCAGCTAACATGTAATTTTTAAATGTGATCTAAATAAAGGAAATGCCACATCATACATTTGCATCCTTTTATCTCTGGAGCCACACAGATAACAAAAATCAAACTGCAACACAGAGAATGCAGAGAGAGTGTGGTAATCTGATGCTTCATGTGTCTGTGGGAGAGTCCCACTGAGTGTAAGCAAATGTAATAACACAATTTACACCTTCAAATTATTTGTCAAAATCTAATTTTCAGATGGCATAGGCTGACAGTCAGTTTAAAAGAAAAATATAATTTGAATCCTCTAAAATAAGTGTAATCATTGTTAGGTGAAGTTACAAAAAGACTCTGGGGACTAGCATCAGGTCAGGTGTTAATATGCATTTTCAAGTTTGTATACTTGATAATGTTTTCTCTTCTTGGGTTTTTGAAAGAGGCATTTGTTGCAAATTTGACTTGTCAGCTGGACATGAGACATACAAGTGCTCATTGATCATTTATGTCCTTAGTTTCCCTTCTAAATTACTCATCAACATTGTTCAATTTTACTTCAAGATCTCCACAACTAATATAGCAACAGAACTGTTGCTCCCAGGCATCTTTTAAAAAACAGATTCAATAAAATGAAAACAAATGAATAAATCTTACTCTGGTCCATAAACCTCCCCATGTTAATGCCGGTTCTATCGCTGTGGTCAGGTAATGGATTTGGAACTGAAACAGGTCCTGGCTGGCTCTCCAGACTGCCCTGCTGAGGCTGTTCACGGCTCCTACCTCCGCAACTGGAGCTCCATCCAGCAGCAGGGCCTGAGCCGCATGAAAAGAATGCACATTCATCTGGCATCAGGCCTGCCAGGAGAGGATGGCGTTATCAGTGGTAAGCTGTGTGACAGAGTGAAGTCAGGTGAACATTTAGACAGACAAGTTCTACAGTGTCATCCATTTTCTCACCAGGCATGAGGAAAGGATGTGATCTAGCTGTATTTATTGACGTCCCTAAAGCTCTTGCTGGTAAGCTTATCCACTAATGACTCCCACCCAGTGTGCTTCATTTGGTCTGCAAGAATTTCTCTTATGTGTTTTATGTGTGTACCTGACTGTACAGATGGTATTGAGTTCTTCTGGTCAGAAAATGGCGTGCTGCTGACGGCAGGTGACGCAGAGGGAAAGCTACTCCCTAAATACTTCAGCCGAGCCTTAAGACTGAGACCTACAAGTAAGAAAAACTACCACATGGATCAAATTAGATCTTGAAAATAAGGATGGAGGGCTAACATTGACTGGTTCACTGAGGTCATTTTTGTCCTGTGTTTCAGGGAGCAACCTGCCACTGCAGTAGCAGCAGTGGATACTGCTTTGTTATTGGTCATAGCAGGACTCGCCTGACCGTGCTAGCTTTCCATGGTTGGTTGGCACTTATTCTACTGTAGTTCCCTTGGTAACACTTGTTGTTTGGCAGGAGCATCCCATTGAGAAGGTTTTGTAAGCAAAAATCATTTTAAATGGGACTGAACTGGTAAACCTTTCATTTTTGTGCCAGTATTGAAAGATCAGAATGGCTTTAGAGAAGCATCCTTTATTTTTATATGACAATTCAACCAGCCTTTACTGGCTAATGTCAACTTTTATTAGTGTATAGGCTTTGTTTTCCGTATTCCATTGTTAGTGCTAAACCCATTGAATGCCAATATTATTTAACCAAGTAGTTGCAAAATACTATATAACCCTGGCTACAAACATACAGCGACTTCTGCCAACAACCAGCCAGGCCACTGCATGTGCGGTTTGTCACAAGACTAAGTGTGGCAAAGCAGAGGATACAGACACTGTGGTTTTCATTAACGGACTGCCATAACTGTTTCTTGTAAGATATGGACACACACACTCACACAAACACATTGTGAGGAGAGATAATTGTTTCAAAGATTCCTGTGTAAGAAGCAGAAATTACCACCATATGCCACGACCATACGGAGTGAAGGCAACAGAGAACAAAGTGAGCTGCTGTATTTAAATTAATAAATGTTTGTTTATTCATAACTTTATGTGCTAAGCATTTCATACTTGCATGATTTTTTTTGCAGTAATTGTTTTTTATTTTTGGCTCTAATATTATTGTGGTTGCTGTAATGTGCCCTTTAATTTCTAACAGAATCGATAAGTGACAAAGAGACTGCAACTCTGTGCATCCTGACACAACACTGAGACTAGATAGTAGGAGGTGAAAAAAAGTTAGGCGCTGGCTGATCCAACTGTTGATTTTACATTGTTTACATGAGTTTGGTTGTCAGTCCTGCTGATCCTTGACCACATGTCCAGCAGTTTGACCAGGCAGTAGTCCATCAAGAGGGAAGACAGCAGGAGGATCAGTTGAGTAGCTTATGAGCAACAGCGTGTGTGTGTAGAACAAAGGTTAGATAAGAACAAGATTGGTTGTAAGACATTTATGCAGCATAATAAAACATAAAATTCTATTCCACATGGTTTTCCACTGTTGAGATCCACAGGGAATCTGATGCGGCCTGTGAAGGCTCCATTTTGTTTTGTGTTTGTGTGTTGTAGTCTTAGAGAGCTTCATGGCCACCAGTCAGCTTGTGGAAGAGCTCCTCATTGAGCGTGTCACTCTTCTCACGACTGCGTGTTGACATAAAAATGTAGCCTCCAATGAACTCGTGAACAATTTTGCAGTCGGCAGTCACGCAGCTAAAAGCAATGTTGACATTGCCTTCAAACTCAATGGCCATCTGGAGGGGTTGCAGACACAGAAAGGAAAGAAAGAGCAGGCAGGATATTATTACAAGATAAAAGTTAAAATTTCAGTTAAACTGCACACAGTGTCAAAATGTTACTGTTATATTAGGAGTTTAAAAGTTCAAATCTTCTCGATGATAATCATGACTCTGCTTTTACTGTCAATTGAACTGTCAGCATGGTTTAATACATTTTTGGTGTGTAACTAAAATTATGTTTGATTTCCAAACTCTTCTGTCAAATTCACCTGTTTTACCTTGTGTGATATTATCACAAATAGCAAAGTGACAAAGATCTTGTATATTCCATGAGCACTAGAAAGTGAAGGAGTCTGACCTGGCGTATGTCCCAGTTGACATTCCACTGCTTCATGTTGTTGTAGCGCCAAGTCTTTACCACATCACCCACCCCCAGGTCAATCCGGATCAGGCGGTTGGGGGCGATGCCCAGTACCTCATCTTTTCGGCTACCCTTGAACCTGTTAGACAAAAACATCTTTCAACTGTCTTTGTTTCAAAATTTTGCTAAGACAAGCCTTTAACCCTTCACAACTTTGTGTAAATTTGCTGACTGGTATGTTTGCTGGGTCATATTCAGATATCACTTTTATATTTTCACCCTTATTAACAATTTACAGTTCTTTTCCTCCAGAAGAAGGGACAGCATGTTTCCAAAACCAGTACTATATTAGTGATTCATCTGCAGAATTGTGTCTAGCAGATAGTGACTGTGGCTGGTGACTAGTACAGCTAACTAGCATTCAATAAATTCTGAAAAGCTTTAAACTGAAAGTTAAAAATTGACCTGACGACGATATATGAGAGGCCAAAGTCAGGCAGAGCCTGCCAGATCTGCAGGAAACGCATCACTGCATCTGTCAGTGAGAGCTGAGCCACATTCTGGTATGCATCCAGGATCCGAGGGGTCAGCTGGAGGAGCAAAACCAGGGTTAACAGGTTAGATGTAATTACCTTTTTGCTGATCTGAGCACAAACTGGAATAAGTCACAAAAATGTTCACTACTCCTTTCAAGAACAATCATTATGTTTGACCATTGCCAAATGCCATACACATTATATAGGACCAATAAGTGAGAGAGTTTTGTGATCCATTGGTCTTATACTCTGCTGTAGCTGGGTCCCGAAAAGATCACGACATGATAATGTAAAAGTCTGTGTACAAATTTCCTGTACCTGCTTGGCTTTGTACTTCTTATGGTAACGTGGCGATACCAGACTGTGGGTATTGATGCTTTCATCATCAGGTACGTTACCATGGGAACCAGAGTTGGACTTTTGCATAGCCAGGAAGGAGCGGATGCTCTGTATCTCACTCTGGAAACTGCTGTCTGCGAGTGTCTTGCCTTTGGAGGCCAGACGGCATCCAGCCATCCATTGAGCATACTGCTGCTCCTGGAGGGCGAGAGACAAAGACACAGTCTGGAGAGTGAGCGACTCGCCAGAGAGGTGAGACAGTGAGGCAATGATACAGGTTTTGAAAGAGAGGGATGAGGAGAAATGTGAGTGTGTGGGGCCTCACATTTTCACAGCGCAGATAGACCTCATTCATGCCCTCAGGCGCTGGTATCAGGAGTCTGATAAGGAACTTCTGTGCGGCCAAGTTAACGTCTGGAGCCACCTCACATCCTGTGCAGAACGGGTAACAAAGCAGCAGTCAGTACTGGATGTTACACAGATGTGAATGAACAGGCTGCTAAACTATGACTACCTCTTCATCTGCCATTAACTCATAAATACTTGTTCTGTTGATAACTGCGGACATTATCCCCAGAAGTAGCTGACCTGCATGGAAACAATATAATAATGAAAAATACAGTAATATATTCAGTACCTTTCAGGTTTATTTGCTGTATGGGCTCTCCAATGCTCTCTTCTTTGCTCTTAAAATAAGAGATGGAGGTGTCCTGGAACTTGAACCAGTACTGCTTGTATCCCTTCAGTGTCAGCCTCTTTGGCCTGAAACATAGGGTGAGTTTCACCAAAACCGTTCAGTCCAGTTTTCTAGATGTAAATATTTTTCTCTTTCTTTGGTGTTAATGGATTCAAACTCATAATGGGGAGACAAACAGTGGTTACAGGGGGTATCAAGTTTTAAAAGACAGCATTTCATATGTACCTGAATATCTTCAGATAGTCATTGAGCTCAGGTGCAGTCATGATGTCCTGGATGAAAGACAGATTTTTTTTTTTAAGTGGATAAATGAATTCCCTTTTCTCCACCTTGTTTCACTGAATAACAACAACATAAAATTCTTGTTTAGATTATTATTTTGTTTGTTACAATCTATATTAGAGTGTACAGTACATTTCCAACAAAACAGTTCTAACTGATGTAGATGTATAACTTAAGTTACTAATCTTGGACCTAGTGATAGCAAAATAAATGATGCAGATGAGATTTTAACACAAATGAGTAAATGTCTTTATAAGGCCTTGTGTATTGCAACATTTCACATAATCTCTTATGACTGGGACCAAGTTGTTTAACATATTAGAGACTCAAGAAATAAAACCACTGAGACAAGCCTAAAAGTATCCAACTTGTAATGACAGACAAGTGCATCCAGTATGTCTGACCAGCATCTCGGACGCAGAGCTGCTCTCTCCCTCCATCTTGACCTCCAGGCACTGCAGGGCTGACTCCAGGTCGTCCATGGCTGCACTAGAGCTCTGCATCTGAGGCTCCGACTGAGACACCTTACTGATGTGGTACTACATCAATTTGAATGTAAGAGAGAAGAAGGAATGTTTAAGGAGAGAATAACTCAAATTGTGTGTCATTGCTATCTGTTTCCCCTTGCAACCCTCTAAAAGATAAGTGGATATAGGCAATGGATGAATGAATGTATTACCTGATCTAGAGCATTTCACTGTAACTGTAATTTAAGACTATTTTCAAGTCCATGACATTTCATGAGGGAACTGTCCACTTCCTATAGAGTGGTTTATGTTTCCGTTCCAGATTGCACATCTGTTTCCCATTCAACAATGGTGTTTTCTACCTGGAGCGCGCCAAACAGCATCATCTCCTCCTCGGTGCAATCGATATCCTCCAGCAGGATGGCCCAGCGAGCTTGCTCATACAGCTGGGTCAGACGCACAACATCGTACTGCAGGGTCAGAAAAGGAAGGGAATAAGAAGGTGGAGGTTAAAGAAAGGGATGTACTGCTAAATGGAAAAATACTCGTGTCTATAATAACAACATGAACACACACACACACACACACACCTTGGGTTCTATGTCATAGAAGGCAAAGTATTTGAAGCGAAGCCAGAGGCGGTCATTTTCTTGGATGCCCTGCTGCATAAGACACCGGGATGAATCCAGCCACCTGAGAGGAAAGAAGAATAGAGATATGTTTATGAGTTTATATATAACATCTATGCACATGTGGTACACATTTTAAAATGTTTTACTGGGGTTTCAAACATTTTTATACAATTGAAAAGTCCAGTCTTCCCAATTTCCCTCGAAGAACTGACTAGTTCATACACTCACAAGCAGAGGAATCTACCACAATTTGACATAGTAACCTAAATAAATCCCTAACTAAGACCATAAAAAACAGTGATACATACAATATGTTCATATGGAGATTCTGTGTATTAAAGAGTATTCAAGTTCAAATCGTTTTCAATTCCTGTTAAATGGGTAATAACTTAAACTAACTTGTACAGGCCTATATGGTGCACCAGCACAGTATGTGTGTAGGCATACCTGCCATTGATGTGAGCCTTGTCCACCACACTGGCTGGGCGGTACTGTTTGGCTATGACCTCTGGGGCGGGGGGAGGCTGTGTGACTGATAGCATCTTGTAGATGGCCTCCATCTGAGGTGAGTCAGCGAAGTGAGCGGGCATGCCGTTGTACAGACTGGGCCGGGACACTGCAAAGGAAGTGAGCGTAGGAGGGTTACAGTCAAATACTCCAAGGAGTCATCTTTAACTGTAAATGACCTCTCTAATATATATGGCTCAATTACTGATTTAAAATGCTCAGTAACTTAAACTCCATGATATCTGGATCAATAGCAGGTAGATTACATTGACATCTCACACCTCATCATCCCAAATACCCAAAGCAGGATTTTCAGTGGTTATTGTTACCACATATAATTCCCCTGATTTGATATGACTATAGTGTACTACACTATAATGGCTGCAAAGCCATTACTGTATAATATTTTCCATACTGATGACACAGTAGTAAAGGGAGGATTACATTAGTGGAAAGTCCAAAGACAAAGCTGTAAAAATTGAACTTTTGGCAAATGAACTGGTGAAGCTGGCAGCAGTTAATCTACTGCTAGCATTTTTGATCTTGGTAGATTTGAAGGATTTTAAATGTTGTGCATCTACCACATGGAAAGCTTTAAATATTTTTGAGAAGAGTCACCACATATAATGCGTGTACAGGTCAGGAGAGTGAATGAAGTGTGATGAGTGTACCCGAGGAGAGGGGCACCTCTGTCAGGTCGTAGATCTCCTCAGCAGAATTCTTATCTTTCTTCTTCTTTTTCTCCTCCACGGGCCGAAGGAGGGAGAGCTCCTCAGGGTGACGAATGTCTGTGGAGGTGGCAGAGAGGAAATAGAGGCATAATCACTCAGCTAAACTGACTATGTGTCAGCGATAATATGTACAAATAAATATGTACAGAGGAGACAGTGAAACAGTATCTTTAGACATTTGTGAACTGATGATATTTTGGGTAAGTGCATTGTTTTCATGAACTGATTTGCAAAACCTTCACCTTGCATCAGACCCTGTGGCGCAACGGTAGCGCGTCTGACTCCAGATCAGAAGGCTGCGTGTTCAAATCACGTCAGGGTCAGTGTTCCGGCTTATTGATAAGGATCATTCTTGGTTATGTGTCAATGACACTGTGGTTCTTATAGAGAGCTCTTTCTTTACTGTACAATGTTTTGGAAAGCATTTGATCTCAGCTGATACAATAGTAGTGTGTCTGACTCCACATCAGAAGGTTGTGTATTCAGATCATGTCAGTGTGTTTGCTTCTTATGAAAACACCTCTGTCACTGTGTTTAACTCATCTGTGGATTATACAGTATAAAATCTGCAAGTACTGCTGTTCATTGAACTAGTTGCTGTTATCAGACAACTGATGTGATACAAATACACATCCATCTAATTCAAAGCAAGACACACTATTATCATGCTCCAGTTTTGTGTTTTTGCTCTCAAACAGCTTCTGAACTATTGTGCTCCAATTATAGCACTTTACAGTTTCAAACTGGCATTACATTTCAGTAGAGATTGAAGCAGCCCTCATTCACTCTCCAGTTCCACCCCTAGGGGTTTTAATGTTGTACTGATGAGAAACTAAAAAATGTCTTTGTCCCACTTTTTGGCTGCCATTATGAAGCAAACTTTGTGGTATAACTGTGGCATGTCAAACTCCAGAGCAGAAGGAAGGCTGTGTATCGAATCATGTCAGGATCAAAGTGTTTCCTTCTTGTTTTTGCCTTGTGTCAGTTTTTAGTTTGGCTGGTGATTCATTAACTCAAACGTCCTATAGCAGAGTCAGTGGTGCAACGAAAGCAACTGATTCCAAATCAGACGGCTGTGTCTTCAAATCACATGAAGGTTTATATATTTACTGCATGATGCTGTAATGGTAATGTTGACTAAACTGTTACATTCTCTTTGCAAAAAGTAACAGTTTAAGCTTAAAACACTGTCTGCTTACTAAACAGATACTTAATTAAAGGATTCACTAAACAAACCCAGTGCTTCCATTTACTGTATCTCAGTGGGAATTTTTCACATATCAGAGAGGCACATGCAGTAATCACAGAAGGGCACAGTCTTCATAATGCTATACTGCTAGTAATGGGCTTTTTGTTAAAGTGAAAACCATGCAATACACAATATATAAATCCACAGTGAACAATAACATGATGCAGTGACTCACTTGGCAAAAGAAGCAATAGTTTTCTGTTATTAAATAGCATGTTATGCACTTATATTTTACTCTGGTCTCCATAAGTGTATGCAGTCAAGTGTCCTTTGTATTCACAAGAGATTTACTGCAACAGAGGTTTATCCCTGTGGTCTGTTCCTCCTCCTCACTGCGTGCTGCATTGTAACTTTGATACAAATCACAGCTTAATCTGTATCTCTGCTCCTTTTTTAAGATGCTTTTCCACTGACATATTTCATTATTTCCTCCTACTCCTGTTGCTTTTCAAAACCTCCCTAGTCTGCTGTTTCCTCCTGAGGCTTTCTGGTGAGGATTTGAGATCAAGAAATGCCAGAATTAGATTAAATGAAAGCATGAAACAGATGGTTAGGGTCTTGTTTTCTGGCGATGGTGTGTGCATGTGTATGTGGTTACAGCCAATTAGGTTGTAACATATTAATGAGACACTTTTACACATTTCGAAGAATAATTAGGCTGTGAACAGTTATTACAGTCTGAGTACTTGCAATCAGCACAGAGACTGATAAGGAGAGGTGACGAAGGGAGCCGTTACTGTGAATGGAAAACTCTGTTTACCCACTGTTAGGTTGGAAACGTAGTGTTCATGTGTCATTTTTTTTCCCCAATAAAATACAATTACAAGTAACAGTTTACTGAAAGTATGTCTTGTGTTGTTTAGGTTTTTTGCAGTTTTGGTGTCTTAAGAAGGAGGGAGGCAAAAAGGAAGAAGGAAAGAAAAGACAGAGACTTACTGAGCATTCTGCAGATACCTATCACCGTGTGGAAGACAGGGCTGGAGAAGCAGGCTCGGAGCCTCAGGGTAATGCCGTTGGGCAGACCCAGCCTCAGGGGCTTGTGTTGGGGCATGAATAACAGCCGGGCATCAGCATGGATGCCATATTTCTCCAAACTCCAGGCTGTTCGCATCAGCCACTGCTGCTTCTGCTCCCACCACAGTGCATGGTCTGACCAATCACGCTTCATCTCTGCACAGGACAGACACAAAACAGTTGTCATAAGAAACTGAGACTGAGTTATACTTGATATTAGTTAAAATATCTGGAAGCTGGAGATCTCATGTATGCACAGTTGATTGTTGTTTACTTCAAACGCTGTAAAAACTATGGCTGTTCAGATCCTTTGGGGCAACATTTTGGGGCAACATTTAAATATCAGTGTCTTGCTTTTTGTAATGAAGAAACCCAGTGCAGCGACATGTTTTACTGCTGTTTTTAATCACTTCTGAACAACAATGCAGGACTATGGCACAGATAAATGAGATAATCCAGGACTGACAGATTAACAGACATTAACAGTGAGTAGAGGCAATTCACTGTTGGTTTTAGTCTCTATATAGGGACTGTCAAAATAGAAAATGACCCGCCTTGTCCTTTAACATTCATTAGTCTCAAGCACTGATATGTCAGGTCTAAAACACTAATCATTTAAAATCCCCAGTGAAGTCTGAACATCTTCTGACACTTAAAAGGTTAAATATTATTCTGTATGTTATTAAGTTTACAATCAGAAAATGTCACCTCCTCCCACCAGTTGGTGGAAGGTGTGTGAAAGAATGGGGAGGTGTGGGACTCTGTGGCGCAACGGTAGCGTGTCTGACTCCAGATCAGAAGGGTGCGTGTTCAAATCACGTCAGAGTCAAGCTTCACTTTATTAACTGGAGTTTGTCTTGGAATTGTATATTATACACATTTAGGTTATTAAGGAGAGGAGATTTTCTTACCTCAGAAGATTTGACCAGCAGTTAAACTGCTAGTGAGAGGTAGCAATAACCAATGTTTAATATGCTTGTGAAATCCACTGTCACATCATTTTGGCTTCTCTTGTAGCTATGAAAGCCATGAACAGTTTAAAATCATCTAATAGGGCTTACTTCACCTCTCTGAATAAATGTTTAATTAAAGAAAGATCACGATTAGGTGCCGTTTGTTTGTCCTGAACATTTCAAGATCAGAATTCAGTGTAATTACCAACCCATTGCCCTCATTGTGAATTCCAAGATTAATGAATATTCAAATATATACCAACATATCTGCATTTGTTCATCCTCTCTGAAAACAGAAAAGTATCTAGGCTGAAGTTTTTTTTATCAAAGTGATATCTGCATGATCCACCTGTCTTTCATTATGCCCTCTCTACAAGTATGTATTATTTTATTATGATTTTTTTGTGTGTTTATTGAAATAAGAAAAAAAACTGCACTGAAATCAAAGCAAGTGCCAGGGGACAGGAGTTGATGGAAATACATAAATCATATTGTATTTCACCAGTTCACATTGTAATAAAGTGAGATGGGTACTAATGTTGTGTCAGAAATCTCACTGAATTTCTAGACATATTCTTGCAACCATATTATAAACTGTTTTCTAAACAATGTATGTGAATTATTGTATGTCTAAGGCATATACAGAAACTATTTTTAGTCTGTGCATTGTGATGAAAGAAAAGACAAACAAAGGCAGACAGACAGCGACCTACGTGTCTTCTCCACTAGCTTGAGGATGACCCCTCCAACATGGAGGTCAGACATCACGCTGAGGGTGACAGGTGGGGCATCAGACCCCAGGTCCTCCACTGTGACTGACAGGTCCCAGGCTGCCATACTGGGAGAAAGAGAGGTAGAGAAACAACAAAAAATGCAGGAGACAAGTCTGACTGTGATGTGCAGACAGTAGACAGAGCAAAGAAGAAGAAAGCAGGACGGAAAACATGGAGAGAACGACAGAATGAAATACATGATTTAGGAACATTGTCCAACTGTGGCTGCTTGGGAAATGCTCTTTAAATTATTTATTATGTGGGACAAATGTATTTTTTGTGTTTTTATTTAGCTCTATTAATCATGTCAGCAAAGTTATTCTTTGTTTTTCCACCACATTCATTAAAGTGCTAACACCATCTCTTCAGGTCTGCCTTGAAAAATGTTCAGACCTATCATGATACCAAATTGAGTGTTTTAGCAATTACTATTTTAGACACTTAGAAATGTCACAAGTGAGAAATTATGCATTTTTATGTGAAGAAACTATTAAAATGCCCGAATAAAACCTTTTTGCATCTCTATATAACAAAATCATAATATTACATAAATTTTGATTATTTCAGACCTGTTACATTGTAATGTTTTCTGTATTATTTCATATCAGTACATAAAAATGTCATGCATTTATAATTCATTTTCAATTAAAAAAACTGCAGTGAAAAGTTGTTACATGGTAAACTCTAAAACATGTAAAACTTTAACCATTCACAGTAATAAATGAAACAAAGAGATGATATACGACCTACCAAATCAAACTTTAGCCAATCATCCATGAGGAAAGAAAAGTCTTTAACTCATGATTCAGTATCACATGATACTGAGTAACACACACATACTGGATGAGTGACTGAATTTATTCTGACATGTCCAGCTTGAGGAGAACTTCCTGTTTATGACTATAACTATCAGAGTGGACGCATACTTCCGCTTTCTGATCCACCCGAGGTGAGACGTTCATCCAATGCCAGTACAGTCACTTACTGCAGGTGCAGGAAAGTGTAAGTGTAAAGTTTACAAAATAATATTACAAATTAAAGTATGGGTTTTTGCCCCATCTATTTGTATTTTCAGACTAATATCACAGACAACGGCATGATAATGAATAAATGGCCTGCTTGCATCGCTCCTCACCTCTTTAGGGGGCCAAAACTGTTGTTACGTAATCTGTATGTTTCTTAAACGTAAATTGTGCTCTGTGACTAGTTCACTTCCTACAGTATATGTTTTAAAATGATGTGACATAATAAATAACCCCAGATCTGAACTTTATTACAGAAGCCCCACACATACATACTCTGTCCTAGCACTTTCTCTTTGTCCTTAAGCTTTGACTCATGCTGTCAAAAACACACCCACACACACTTTAAAAGACAATACCGTTATAATCCTCTGTCCTTTTGAGAAATAGAAGTGGGGGACTCCTGTGCCTATGTCAGATCTCTGAAGAAGCTTCCCAGGTTTTCTGTGAAAATTTTGTTCAGCACTTTAGCTTCTCTTGGGTTGGGCGGGTTGTGGTCTGTGTAGATGTCTGTGCTGTCACTTCTGTCAAGAAAGGCTTGTTCCTTTTTTGTCAGTTTCCGCCAGGCGGAAATGTGAAAAGGGCTCAGGTTTTGACTGACAGGCAGTGTGACTGATGCATATTAGGCAATGTGTGTGCGCATGTGTATGTGCATATGTGGGAGTTGGGATATGAGAAATTAAATGGAGAGACAGAGACACTTACTGTATCTCTCCTCTCTTTTCTTGAGAATGGCAAGCACTAGATCAGCAATGAGTAGTTTTTGGGTGTGGGTTATGGAAAACAAAATAAAACAAAACAAAATAAAACAAACAAAAAAAACATAAATTGATTAACTATAAGAGCCAAGATATATAGATAGAATACTTTATTAATTCCACAGGGAAATTCAATTGTTACAGCAGCCAAAACAACAAAGTATACCAGGATGAATATAATTAAAGCAAAGTTAATATCCAAGATAGAAAATAGGTTAAAAAAAACAACAAAAAAAATGTACTTAATAGGATAAAAGATAGTAAAAATTGAAATAAGAGACCTAATTGAGTATATAGTATACGCTATTCTATGATAAACTCTCCATTATTGTGGTCAGACATATGGATCATATGGAGAAAATCTAAATTAAGGTGCATAACTAGTTAACTGCATAACTGAATAATTTCATTCTAAAACCAACAGGTTTAATGACATATAATATTCTAATAATAATTTGATTTTTTTGAACAAAAATACATAAGGATAAGGATAATCACCTTTATTGGCCAAGTATGTTACACACAAGGAATTTGTTTCCGGGTTAGGTGACACAGTTCTTGAGCTTGTATTAAACTGCAGGTACCGACAGCAGTCATCCATTATAATCATGGAAGATAAAATACATAAGGATAAGGATAATCACCTTTATTGGCCAAGTATGTTACACACAAGGAATTTGTTTCCGGTACAGAACCGATGGCAGCCATTTGCAGCGCCACCTCAACCGATGGCTCTAACCATCGGGGGCAACGGGGGGTTCAGTGTCTTGCCCAAGGACACTTGGACATGTGGACGGCAGGCACCAAGCCCTGTCCATGGATCAAGTCCAGATTATCTTGATGCATCCCTGATTAATGAGTTCACTTGTTTCATTTGGGGTAAATAATTAAAATTAAGAGCTAAATTGAATTGCACTACAATCCTTTTATCTTGAGCCAGAGGGTTACTTCATACTTGGGGCCCAAGAATAATGTTGCCTTCAGAGAAACTTTTTTCTGAGCAACAGAGTCTGCTGATTGGGCAAAAGTATGAAGATGCATGAAAAGTACACTAACTTTTAATAAAATTATGTGCTTTATATGTGAATTCAAGTACATTTTTGGTCTGGTCTCGCAGTAATGTTATGAGCCGAGCCCGTATGTACAATTGGTGATTGTATTAAATTGTCTCATTTAAAAACGTCCGACTTGTTACAGAGCAAAAGGATCGTGTTTTAAAGTACTTTGTGGTTAGAAACAACGATTTCCAAAGATTCGAGCCCAAATCGTGCAACTTCTTGAAAGACTATTTCATGATAGTTTAGAAACTTGCTTGTGTGTCCTCATTTTGAAAATCTCACATTTCCAACGGCCCTGAAGGAGGCCTAAGCTTGTGGTCATTGGCTTCGGCTTTTCCATGTCATATGATTCGGGGTTTTCATTCGGTGTGCAATTGAAAATAGAGCAACACTGGTCGCACTATAGCACACTCTTTTCACTGGTAATAATGTTTAGTAGATAAATACCAGCACTGGACATGGAATTCACGTTTACTGACACATTTTATGGGTTTCTGTTTAGCGCCCTACACCTGACACCCCTTGAGAATGGTACACTCCGCACGTTAATCTCCAAAACAAAAATGGCACGAGAACTAACTGGTTGACGTTTACCATAAAGTGTTGTGTTCGTATCAAAACCGAAACTTAACCACGGTGTAGCTGATACAAAACTCTGTGTGAGGTTATAGGAATAGAAAAACGAACCGTTGTACCCCTCGGTGTCATTCAGGCATGGTAATGCAAATGTCAGCTCTATTTTCATACATCAGAGCCCTCCCGCGCACCACTGGCCCTCTGACCCGTGTCCGTGCTGGCTTCCAGGGAGCCGGTGTCAAGTTCAAACACATTTTAACCCCTGGAGGGCCCCAGCTGGGAGCGAAGCCAGCAATAAGTCTTTTCCGCGGCCATATTAACACTGCCTTCCGAGCTGAAAAGTTTTCAACAACGGCAGCAGTACTTTGGAAGTCCAGCCAAGGGAACGGTTTCTCCTCACTACGGGGGACCAGAGGCTGGCTGGGCAAGGTCGCCTGCGGTGCCGCTCTTGGAGTTAGCACAGTTGCTCTGATACAGGCTCTCCACACCGGGACCCTGACCGCCATGGCCCTCAAAGTTGACCTGAACTCCGCTGAGGGAGACTGGAAGGAGACCAGGGGTGAGACTGTTCAACCAAACCCGAGAAGACTTTAATTTTCTGCACTTAGCAATGTATAGCTGCAGAGTGCAGTGCTGTCACGTGACCAAACACCTGTCCAGCTGTCAGTCACAAGCTGATAGATGTAGTCTACCTGAAAAAGTAAAATTAGTTATTATAGCTATTTTATCTTATGTAAAATCAAAGTGAAGTTAGAACACAAGATATTTATACACTGTAACCTATATGATGAATGCATTGTAAGTCAGTAAAGAAGTGATATAAATACATTTGGGCTGCAAGTATTGCAGTTACTTATTTAGGCTTTAAAATCTCCAATTATTCATAATGTCAGGCACAAGCTACCAGAACCCAAAGTGATATCTTAAAACTAGATTTTAGTTAACTCACAGATTGAAAAACAATAATTTTTGAGAATAATGCAAAATGATTAAAACTGTGCAAAGTATTGAGTCTGAGAAGCTGTCTAGCAATTTTTTACGCAATAAATGAGTCATGCAGTATATCAGAAATCATAATCAAGCGACTAAAAGATTTACCGACTTAACACCTGTGCCCTAAACTACAGTACTGTGCATTCTGTGATATTATATAGAAGCTCATGAATGTTTCACTTAGTGTTTTTCTTTCTTCATAAGGTAAATCAGTACTGATTCAAACTGAAAATTGAGTGCAAAAATTGCATATAGAGTGTAAAGTATTGTAATGATACTATAATCTTACACTATAGTTTACAGATTTTTGTACAAATGTTGCTGTTCTTTAGGTATTGATGTTATTTGTTCTTTAGGTGTTGATGTTATTTGGCCTATTCTTTGTTTCTTTAGCCTGATATGCCATTAACTGTACCATTTCTTTGTTCTTTAACTTAGTAAATATTTAACAAAATACCTATGTTATTTCTAGCTAACACCTTGTTTACTGTCAGGTGTCTTTCTTCATTGTGTCTTGCAGAGGTCTTGCTGTCTCTGTCTGTGAAGGACAGGCGTCAGTACTACAGGACTTCTAACTCTGTGCCACTGGACGACATCCCAGTGTGGACTCCCACTGCAGGTCAGAGACATCAGTCAGTCTTCGAACCTTCTTGGATGCAAGGACAGGAATACTTTTACTAGCCATGTTTGGCTACGTTGTGTCAAATGATTTAGAAAATTGCACAATAAGCGCACTTCCAAGTTAAAAATAAACTTGTGTACAAAATATATTTTACATATATTTGTGATGCACCTAAACCAACACAAAAGCTTCTATAGATATAATTTTTCCTCAAACAAACTGCTTCCAGCAGTCTTTATATTGTGCTCTCTTTCTCTATTAAATGTGTACATCATTTTTCCAGTATTACAGGGTACATGGAAGGCACATTGTATCACTGTTAGTTTGTCCAATAGCTTATTGACTTAGCATACATTGGGTTATTAGGTCCAACTAGCTAATACCAATTCAGTCGTCTACAACAGACATTATGCAGAGATGTACTTTCTCTTTTCTAGCCTAGTCTTGTTGATATAAATGACAAAATAATAGAAATGCCTGTCAAGATAGATGGAGTACTTTATTAATCCCCAAGTAAGTAAATTGAGTTGTTACAGTAGCAATGAGAACAAGAACAACAACAAGGTATGCTGAGATTAATATATATTAGCCTACATACATATAAGTTCAGTTATTTACAGGAAGTAGAAAGTAGTAGAAATAGTAGCAAATAAGAAAAAATGTGTAAAAATAAAGTAAATAGTTTGTTCACTCTACTGGTATCACTGCCCCAGCAGCAAAGAATATTGCACTGGCAACAAAGACAGGTCAAAGATTTGCAACATCTTGCTGCACACATTAAAGGATATGAGCTTCCTCCAAAGCAATTAAATGTGCCAAAGCATGGTAGAGCATTCATATGGAAGCTCAGTATACAAGTTAAGTGATGGTCACCCGTTATATGGCCCTAGAGAGGGGGGTGACAGGCCACGCTGTAATAAATCTTCAGAGCCCAACAATAAACAGCACCATTTTTCAATCCTAGACTACCCTTAAAACAAAGCATCCCTGAACCCTATCCTCATCCAAGCAAAGAGCAGATATGTGGCTTGAAACACAGGATCTGAATTGCATTTGCTCAGGTTAAGTAGTGGCTGGCCCAACTGGCTTGGTAGGCAAAGTAGAGTCTGCTCTGTCCCTTCCTGTAGACAGACTTTGTTTTTTAACATTTCCTGTCCAGTCTGTTGTTGAGGTGGACTTCAAGGTGTCTGTAGCTCTCTTCCACCACCTCTCTAAGAATAGAAATGTTTTATGAGCTGGTCCTGTTCCTCCTAAAGTCCAAGACTACCTTCTTGGTCTTGGTCACCTTCAGTAGCTGGTGATTGTTTCCACACAAGGCCACAAAGTAGTCCATCTGGCCTGCAACTCTGTGTATTACACACCGTTTAGTTTTATACTGGAAGCAATGGTGAAATATTGTGATACTTTAATATCTGTAGTCAGGATAACAAAATACTGCTGGTGAACAGACATTTTTTTGAAATTTAGCAGAACATCAGAGATAAATAAATTAATTGGGGTTTAGTGTGTGGCCATTTCCTCAAGAAAACCTTGAACAAAGATTGCAAGTTATGTAGGTTCATATCCATTCGAAATGGATGTCCAGAGTAAACCAGTGTGCATGCAGTGTGTAGTCTTTTCACTGTTGAATACAACAGAATACAGCAGCAATGCACAAAACGTCAGATACCATAATATTGCAGTACAAAGAGCTGTGATGGCAACAATTTTAAATGTTAGTTTAGTTAAATTTGGCCATTACGTGTCATCTTTAATGTTGCAGATCATTAAACTAACAACTGTTGAATGGTTTATTAGTCATAAAATGTGCACACTTCCTTTTTTTTTTTAAATCTAACCTTAAATCTTCAGATAACACTAATGTAAGAATTTTACTGTTAGGTCTTAATATTAAGTATAGGAACAAACCACCAACCTCCTTCTTATGTAAGTTTACCAGGTAAATAGAACCCGTCCTGACATTGGTTGCACTGTGTCTCATTATCAGGTGGTTCTGAGCCAGTTCGCTACCAGAGGAATGAAAAGCTGGACCAAAAGATTTCTCTCTACAGCGGCGACATCACCAAGTTGGAGATAGATGCTATTGTTAATGCAGGTATGTTTGTGTAAATAATTTTTTTTTTTTTTTAGTTGGATCAGTGAGTAGGTTTGTTATCCAACATGGACGCTAAACATCGATTTTCATACTAAAATAAAATGAAAAACAATTTTATTTCATTTTTTAAAATCCATTTGAATCAGAAGAAATATATTCAGCAGGGAAAAAGACGTGACCAAGAACAGTTTGAAGAAGAAGGTCAACCAGTTGGAAATATGAGAAAGAATTATGGATTTAAAAGCTTGGTGCTAAACTGAGCGCAGCCTCCAGTGTGATTGTGCATAAATTTAGCACAAGCCACCTGTGAGGGAGGTTTGAGCTGTGATTATGGGTATGATGTTTTCTCAGTGTGTAGGAGGGACAGCTACAGGCCTTCATGGTTGCTAACATACTGTGAAGTTTTCTTTAAACTGCTGCACATACAGTACAAAAGAGAAGAAGTACAGAACGGTTGAGAATCAGAAGGATAGCTGACTCGCTCCCTGCAAACTTCAAAAGATGGCAAAGCAGCACAAAAACAGAGCTAGCATTTGTGTGAAGTCTCAGTACTGAAAAAAAATATCAACAGGTTGCTTTTAGATGGCACAGTGTAGAATAACCAGAGTTAAATGGATGTGGATTTTAAAGGTTGATACAAACTCTGTAGATGAAATCAGTGATTTTGTGAATGCAGGAATTAGTATCAGTGAACACAGATATTCATTTGACATACTGTACATTGGTGCATGTCAACGCAAAAAGCTTGTTAAGGGTCTCCCCAAACAGTTTTTGATTTCTTTTTTTTTCCTGTTGTATGTGGTATCCTCCAGCCATTTGTTCTGGCTCTTGTTATCACAACTGATGAAACCTATGATTTGTTGCATTAACTAGCTCATGTTGCAAGTAACATATTTTCACATTTAATCTTTTGATAATTTTTTCAACTAGCCAGTTTATTGTTACAATCTGCTATTGTAGTCTAAATTTAGAAAAAAAAAATTCAATTTATGAGAAGAAAAAGTAATATCTTTAAATGTCTTCCTTTTTCCAAAAGCCAAAGATATTCAGTTGTCAATAATCTAAAACAGAAAGACGGCAAGTCACCAGACTTTAGAGACGATGGAGCCCATGAGTATTTGCCATTTTTGCTTGATTAAACAACTGTAACTGTAGTTCAATTATCAAAAATGTTGCAGATTAATTTTCTGTCAGATGATTAAGTGAATTTGTCACTTTAATTATTTCAGCCCTATGTGGCTCCCTTTACCTTTTTTATTAATATATTTTACTGTTGAGCAAACTCCTGTTGTAATAAAATAAAATAAAAGAATTGAGACCATCTATTTCAGTAAAAGCAAAAAATATCAAGAATAGTTACAAAGAGAACCTGTTTATAAATCCTGAGGTATTATCATTTTGGGCTTTCCATAGACAAACCAGTGCAATACTCAGCAGTTGAATAGTACATTATACCAGAACTTTTTTTTTTTAACCAGTGACAAGTCGATGCCAGCTTCGCTAGAATGGAAAGGCTTTTGCAGTGTTAGCCTACCACTTTGATACAAGAAGTCATAATCTTTATACAGATAGTCCTTTTTTTAAACTAACTTTATTACAGAGCGATATTTTAATCACATTACTGTTCCGGTCAGTTGCTGTTTTCCTGAGTTTTTCTATCAACCATTAGGTGGAGCCAGAAGCCAGTTCATTCACTAAAGACGTTTTCCCACAAGGCTGTTTGGGCATTTGGGGGAAATTAAATCGGTGTCTTGGCACAGACGGTGTATCAGGGGAGAGTAAAGCCGGCCAGCACATCTAAATGATGCTTGATGATGAGGCCTGAACAGAAATGATGATTTTCATTGGCAGCTGACTGTCAGCAGGTGTACGCTGTGCCAGTATCTAGTGAATATGTTGACTCTCATTTATGGCATTAGAACTTAGATGTTTGTGCTTGTAAGCACTGATGCAGGCATCTGCCTACAAATGTTCAGGTAGTTGTGTGTGTGTATATATACAGTAAGTAATTGTCATTGGTCTCAGTGTGGCTTTAGAGGCGACTGATTTAGGCTGCCAGTTTTACAAGAGCTTTTGCAGAGTGGCAAGATGCAAAGTTGCACTGAATTAACAAGAGCAAAGAGCTAGTAAAGTGTCATTTAGCAGAGGGGATGAAGGAAGGTGTGAGAGAGAGAGTAAAAACACAAACATGCCAGAGGAAACATGACTGAGAGACGGAGCGTGAGAGCGAGTCAGCACACTGACTGACAAAAAGTGACAGGAGAGTCTGGAGGAGTGAAAAGAAGAAGATAAAAGAGAGGCAGGGAGAGGACGCAGGCTAGTATTTAAATCTTGGACTGCATCGCCATGGCAACAAGCAGGTATAGGGTACCCACAGAGGAGTTTTGGGCAGCAGAGTCCAATCATCCTTTTTCTCTGTGATTGATTGTCTGGCAAGAATTGTTTCTTTTTGGTCTTTCTGTTGAGTAAGCAACTGACCTTTTCACTTGATGATTAACTGATTGACTAAGATGATTTGAGTGATGCCAGTCTTAGAGACATTAATATAAAAGAGAGCAGAAAAGATTAGGGGGCAAGAGAACAATTATAAAACAGGCAGTTAGTTAAGCTCATTTAGAAATGAGAAACCTTATTCTTCTGTTGCCAATCTAACAGCAAAACTCTGGCATTACTGAGCCGCCAGACCGGCACATGTGATTTTTGACATGTGGAGAGGAGTGTTTTGGCTTTTTCCTGGCTGCTCTGAATGGCCTTGAAGCATCATTTAGCCCCTAAAGCAGAAAACATTCAGCTGAAGCCAACTGCAGCCAATTATATGCTATACTGGCAGATTGGTTGGTAGGTAGGTTGGGGGCTGGGGGCGGGGCTCCCTGGCCTAGCTAGTGTTAAGCAATTGACTGCAGACTCAGGAAAGCACGTGCATATAGTGACATGCACACATTTGTAAGGGAGGATACATTCAAGTACAGATACTAAAGCACTAGAGTCCTGTGAATTAACAGAAGGGTGCTATGTTATGTGCTGCTCCTCCACGTCTCTTCCTCCCTTCTTTCTCTCCTGCTCTCCTTCCCCAATCAGCACTCATTGATCAGGTAAGCAGGGTGTTGCAGTGATCCTGGGCGGGCAGTGTTTGTCGTTTGTGTCACTTTCAATAAAGATTGGATTTACAGTAACTCTCAACTCCTCCTCCTCTCCTCCTCCTCCTCACCACCCTCCTCCCCACTCCCTCTTCCCACACTTTTACAGCCCCCAGCTCCTATCCACTCCTATAAAACACTACAAACATAAAAACCCACAAGCACTTAAGAGCTGTCCTGGTGAGAGGAGGACAAGGGGAGGGGGAGACATCCTCCTCTTTACACCTCTCAATCACTCCGTCCGGAGAAGGAGAGAGAGATGGAGGGGAGGATATATTGTCTCTGATGGGCTAGCTGATTAAGATGGATTGCACAATGAAATGTCGTTGGAGTGATGAGTTTTTTGGAGCGCGTGTATGTGTGTGTGGATACGACTTCTCGCCAACTAACTTTGTATTAAAACCTTTTTTTCCCAAATTGATTAAATGTAAATTTGCTTAGCTCTACTGAGCTGCATTTTCATTCACAAAAGTTTTATTTCTCATTTCTATTCCAGCACTTACTTTTAGCCATTGTAGTGTTTATTGTGTTTAACATTAAATGCCATTTATTTTAGCCCACCTTTCTCTCTATATAGAACTGAAATATAATTGAAAAAGATTTAAAAACTGAACTGATAGGGTCTCCTGGTATTTTTGTCTAATTTTTTTTTTTTTTCCAGTGGAGCTAACTCTGTGTGTGAGAGTAAATGCAGCTGCACAGTTGGCTGATAAATCTTTCAGACTAGACTATAAAAAACTGTCCCTAAAATTAAGCCGTGCACCGCCAAGTGATAAAGAATATTCTGGTTCTATCTTAGTCTTTAGAGCCGAACCACTTGTCATCATCACAATTTCTGCTTGCGGAGAGACCATAGGTGTGTATATGTGTGTGTGTTTATACAGCCCTACATGTGTATCCAACCTGTTTTCATTCCCAGAACGTCAAACAGTGACATTTTGTCTCTTACAGATGCCAAATTTACTTGACAGTGTGTCACTATTTGATGCCCTGGGAATAAGAACAGGCTGTTGCACCTTTGCATACGAGTTTAGATGCATTAACAAGATTACATATATGTACAGTATATGTACACTTGTGCAGAGCTGCACCTGCCGCACACATAAATCTGGCTCTAAGAATGTGTGTGTGCGCGCGGTACAGTGTCTGGCAGGGTGGTGCATGAGTGGTGTATGTATGTGTGTGTTTTGAGCACAGGTGTCCCATTGTGCAAGTGTGTATGCATGAGATAGGGTCTCCCAGGTTTTCCTCTGCAGGTCAGAGATAAAGCCTTTGGTTGGTGCTGGAAACCCACTCACCCTGGCAATAGCTGAGAGATACAAGATTAGAGCCAATAGTTTTCCTGGCCTGCAGGTGACAGACAGAATGAGAGGCAGAGAGGGAGTGTCTGTAGATTATACTGTAACTTCCTCATGGATAAGAAACCTGGAAAGAGATTATGGATTGGCAGACTGAGACAGTAAAATGACAGACAGGGTGGGGAGGAACAGTCAGCGGTGAAAGGCTTCACGTCTCACTTGCAAAATCCACTAAATATGTCCTGTTATCGTCAGCATGGCATCATTGTGATGTAGGTCTATAAAAAGGAACATGGTGGCTCAGAAGGACAAGCTTTTTTTCCAGAGATGCGTGGAAATTGCAAGCATAAACAAGCTGGTTATGACTAATGACTAGACTTGAACAACTGTGCAGTATTCACAGAATCAACTGAAGATGCTGACCAAAGCCTCGTCAGAAATAACAGTTTGCTTATGTGGTCAGTGAAAAAGTCACAAATAGTATAAACCAGTCATGTAAAGAATGTTTCAGTATTATGTATTAAGAGGGGAAGCACATTTTTATCACATTCCCTACCACATACTG